TCTTCACCACAATATGGTACATGGGACAAAATACTCATGGAAACTGTTCATGCTACCATCAATGCGACCATCAATGACTTTCCTAAAAGTCTTCAATATGTAGTAAAAGCTAAAGGGAACCATATTGAATGAGATTTTCTGGTGTTATTTAGCAGATTAATAATTACTTTGTGTTAAAATTGTATGCTGACATAATAATTTTTTCAAGTGTCATTTTTTTTTTGTAACAGTATTTATGCTGCACCCTGTACAATAACAAAAGACATTTAAAACAGTATTGTCCTGGGTATGACGATAAGCTATATCCACTAGTAAGGCCTTTAATCAAGAGATTGGAGGTTTTGAGGAGCATGGAACCATCTCTTAACTGTTGTTACTAGGTTCATCCTGACCTGGGATAGTAGCACGTGTTATGGGCAATTAATGAATCCCCATACAAAAATCAACAATACATTTTTATAATAAAATGATCAACAATACATGTTTATAGCAAAATGACATGCAACATTAAAAAATATAAAAATACATTTTTATAGTAAAATTAACAACAATACATTTTGTAATCTACAAAGATACCTTCACCATGAAAGCATAAAATTATGTACAAAATATTTAGATTTCAGCATTAAATAACTGATGGAGATTGATAAGCTGCAAAACAAAATCAACAAAAAAAATTGAAACATTAAACAAATATTGAGAATTTAAAATGAAGATAAAAAAATACATCTCTAGACATTTTTACTTGATTTCACATTCCAAGATCTATATTTTTAATCTTTCAATAACATATATTCTTTAAAAATAGACTTACAAATTTTCATGCAATGAAATATATTTAAAAATCAATTGGAGATGACTTTTCTGCTTTAAATCTATGGGATATAAAGTATATTTTATGGCCAATGAGTGAAACACAAACAAGAGACATCTATAAATAGATCTTACTAAATTCAGTACATATGGAAACTTTTTCTTACAGTTCTGTACAAACAGAACTCCAAATTAAATAAATGGTTTCGGGAACCTGATTGGACAGGACAAGTCACGTGATGTGCTTTCTCCAACACCCATGCTGTTGAACTTCAAATGACCTGGAAAATGGTTGGAACTCGAGTTAATGAGTACATTCCCACACAAAACTCAAATAGTGATTCCAAGCTGACCCATAGCAATAAAAACGGCTTGCCAGGAACAAAGGCAGTCAGTAACAAGATCTGCAAAAGAGTCAGTGAACAAGGCCTTGCCTTGATCAACAGCATTAGAAACACGTTACTATGATAATGCATCAGTCAGTGATGATTTCTCTACACTGTAAACATACAAAACTGTGACAAAAGCAAGTTCTGTCCCCTCTCTCTCTTTGTTCACCATATTTAAAATTACCACTAGTGCATGCAATCAGTCAGCAGTAACACATGTTTCATTAGCATGTGCTTCACACATACATAGTGACGTACATAGCATCTGATTTTCTCACTTACAACAAAAACACTTTGAAAATTTGTAGACTCACTTGTGAAAAATTATTTCAAACAATCAAACTATTGGTCACTCCATGGCCACAACAAAGAACATTAAGTTTTAATATTTAAATATATGTATCTGGCTCTATAAATGTTATTGTCATATTTAGCTTGGTCTTCTTTTTCTGCAATGATCATTTCTTTGCCTTGTATAAAATTTTGTGTTGTATTTGTGGGCATGATGCTCAGATTTCATTTTTTCGCCTAAAATCCAAGTAGACTGACACCACAAATCTTAAGAATCATTCAATGATTTTTGGCACTATTATGCTTCTACATTTTCCTCAAAGAAGGTTGAAGAATGGACCAGCTAAAAACTGAGAAAAAAAAGTAAAGTAGTATTAGAGGTGAGAATAACAGTTCCCACATTCTACAAAAAAATATTTATTAGCTTGGAAGGTATTTTTAGTATGATTATTCATGTGGATGACATAGATATTCATAGTTGGTATAAGAATGATCTTGAAGAGAAAATCAATATCCTCTACCAAATCTAGTACAAGACAAAGGAAAATTGAACATAGAATAGGCTGCATTAGTGGTAGTTTTGCCCAACACCACAAATTGCTACAAAACAAAAACAGTAACTTGAAAGCATGGGTTATATTCTTCAATAGCTTCATCTAGACTTTCATATGGATGACATGCATGACTCCAAATCCATTCAGAAATATATACATTGTCAGCTGTACACAACCAATTTCTAAGATCAATGGTTAAAAATGGCTTTGAGCAAAAGGATTTAGTAGTGTAAGATATAGGATTATGTTTGTCAGGCATTCCTTTGGAATAATTGACGCAGCGGCCCCTGTATCCACAATGAACATAAGTTTTTGGGCTCCTAAATGTGTAATTACTCCCAAAAGTGGTGGGAAAGTGGAAGCCATCACCTCCTGCTGCACTAGTTTTCTGCTTTTTTGTCACATGCTGATGAAGTTTGTCATGAGGACAACTCTAATTTAATTTTCTTTATTTGAGCGCATACACCATGGTTTACATAGGGTGCATAATAGATGAGTGACCTGCATATTTTTGGTTTCTGGTCGAGATGATATGGATTTGTAGTAGATTGGAATTTGTAATTCTGACTATGTCAGTCTTTTTCTTTCTTTGGTTGAACCTGCTGAATGGGGTTGGGATTTTGCTCATTAAAATACAGTAGTAGGTCATCAGCCATTTTCCCAAGTTTTTCTGTTTCTAAATCCGTTTGCGCTGTCAGAATTGGTCTTAAGTTAATCAGCATTGCTTGGATGAATTTGTATTGTATAATGTCACTGCTCACTCTAATTTTTGTAGCTAACACCATAAGTGGAAGGTCTGCCTGTTAGAGTGCAAGAAGACATCAATTTATCAAGCAACTCTGGCTTTAACTTTTCATGAAGAGCTATGACTGCTTCTTTAAGTTTCTCATAGTTTCCTGACTGTAAAACGGTAGGTAGTAGTTTGCATACTATCTCCAATGGTAATGCAGTCAACACATGATAAAATTGTTGAATGGTAGTCCTTATCTTCATGATATTGAACTGTGCTTCCACAATTGTGAACCATGCAAGCACATTTGATTCCATGAACATGGGTGGTTTGATGGATACTATTTGTATCAATTTGCTGACATCTGTAGATGCTTGATTTGTGTCCATTAAATTGTTAAACATTGTGACTTATTGTGAAGGCAGTAAGAATAGATATGTGTTTAGTTTCCTCACATGTCAGAGGTCACCAGTGAAGTATTGAGGGATAATAACAAGGAAACATGTGTTGTATTTTATGAAACAAGATAAGGAATTTATATGCAAATTTACATATTTGAAGTTGTCAGGAGCTTGTTTCAGGAAAAGGAGTCAAATATTTAAAGTTCGTAGCTTCGATCAATTGTCAGAAGAGAAAATGTTCATATTAAATCATTGGACACAAAATAATATTCTGAAATGTTTAAAACAAATTGAGAGAGTTTCTTTTTCACATAAAAGTAGTACGGTTGTATTCAACATGAAAGAAAAGATATATTTTAAGGTACTTAGCTTTGGAGTTCAATAGAGTTCTTTGAAATTGCCCTGCTCTTATTAGAAGCTGATAATGTATCAGCATGTAATCTGACACAGGCATTATTCAGATGTGTGGAACTCTGGACTTTTCTGTCTCCTGCTTTTTTTCTCTCTCTGCCTTGATTCCACTTTCTCTGCCTATTAATATCAAAAAATGATTTCACATTGGCTTGTTACTTTTTTCTCAGTTTGTAAGCTGCTCCCTTTTCTATTGGTTAAAATAAATTTTTGTATAGGCTTGTTAAACTTTGCCTTGGTCTTTTCTTCAGCCTGGAGCCAATCCCTTTTTCTATTGGTCAAAATAAATTTTTGCATAGGCTCATGAATTTGAAAAAAATGGAGAAAAGAGAGTTATTTTTATTTTGTATTCACCACAACTTTGCTTATATATTCTTCAAAGGGATCACGAAGCATGTTTTTTATTGTTGGCAGGAATGCAACTCATTGGTTGACAAATGTTAAATATTTATCTTCAAAGGATTAATTTATTAACTGGAAAGATGTGAGAATCCTCCAACTCAGAATCCATCTTTTGTCATTTGATGATTTACTGTCTTGGTGTTTATTTCCGCCTTTGCTCCACACTACCAACAGAAGTAACTACTAAAATGGATATCATATGTAACTAGAATAAAAAATAATGACATACTGAAGATGTTAACATTCCACACTACTTCAAAGAAAAGGTTAGGAAGAAAACCCCCATGAATGTCGGAAAAACCGATAACACTAAACAGCTATTAAACTTGTGAAACTTATTTTCATGAAAGATTATTTTAAGAGAAAGATTTTATAAATTTAAATCAAGTGTAGTACTGGCTGCTTATTAGTCAATGAATGTTATAAGGAAATGGTTAGGTTAATATTACCATTTGTTTATCCAGTATGAAAGATATTCAACATTTAAAAATAAAATTTATATCTTTATATATATATATATATATATATATATATATAAAGAATGTATAAACATAAAATGTCTTAATATATATATATATATATATATATTCTTGAAATTCAACATGAGATTAGGAATTATGAAACGGTCCTTTGAAAATTAAAACGTTCTAAGACAAAAAAAAAAGAAAGGGTTTTTTATTGTGTGTAGCGCCTTAATTCGAATTTTTATAAAAATAAACACTATTAAAAACTGTATGTAAAACATTTGATTTTACTCTACAAAGAAGTTTTAAATGAATTTAATCAACAAGAAGCAATATAAAATAGAACAAAACACCTGCAATTTTAAAAAATGTATTTACTATTTATTTATCGCGTAAGAAGAAAATGAAGTAAATGACGCCATCTGTTGTTATTGACAGAGGAAATGAAAAAGTAAAGGTAGATAACTCTTGCTTCCAATTTGAGGTAGTCTGTCTGTTCGTCGCTTGTTACACACGGCGCCCAGATCGGCAAGAAAAAGAAGAAAATGACGCTTTCTAAGGGGTAGGTACAATCAACTATGACCTAAGTTATTTAGTAATTTATTTATTGAATGCTCAAGTTAAAATCACCAAATTATAGGCACTTCGAGACCCTTAAACGTGATTATCCGCGTGGTCCGGTCTTTCATGTAGTTACGGAAGCTTCGTAATTTTTTTCTAAATAGGGCCTATGCTAATCTTCCCCACTTCATCAAATTAAAAAAAATGTTTTAAATGCTATTGTACTGTTAATGTATAATAAATATATAGCAACATCAACTTAATGATAACTTTTAATATTATAACTGACTATCTCCAGTCTTTAATTTTTCACTAAAAAGGGTAATTTAGGGATAATCTAATAAAAAAATATATGTTTAATTGTTCTCAGTGGTCATCTTCCTTCATACATATGAGTGGTAGGCTACAAAAGTTGTTTCATTTTTCCCCGTTTTCATTTTTGTGAATATGATTCTTCAAACATTTTCCTTGTAATTTTACCTAGAATAACTTGAACAAATGTACACTACACACCTCTAAAGAACAAACCATTTAACTACACAGGCACAGGAAGAAGATCAGGTAAAAAAAGGACACAGAAGAAAAGTTTTTTTTTTTTTTTTTTTTTAGAAGAAGAAGAAGAAGAAGAAGAAAAGAGATACTTTTACTATTTTTGTCCTGCATGACAATCGACAACAACTGCAAAGCTAATTTCATGATTTTATTTTTTTTTAAATTAATTTAGAATAAAATAAAACTATTAAAAGATTCAATCAAGGATCTATAATCGATAACCTGAAGAAAAAAAAAATTATATAAAAACTAAAAAAAAGTCATTAACTAACAACAAGAGTACCGATTTAATGAAAGCGTGTCTGACCCACTTTTTTCGAGTATGGTTGCCCAATTTGTTATAATTTGGTATCTAAGTTTTGTAATATTTTTCATTCGATGCTATTATCTTGCGAAAAATATATGTTAGCATTTGATATTTGATTTGTCTAAAAATATAGATTTGAAAAAACAAAGGAACTATTTTGTTTATTTTTTATTAGGATAGTTTTGTTTGTTTTTATGCTACTTTTAAACATCCGTAGTATGAGAAATAGGTACGGTTACATTTTCTCTTTATGGTACTATTATTATAAGTCGAATTCTTCCACGAGGAGGAAAATAAACCCAATTTATTTGAGTACAAATTTATTCCTGTCAAATATGTTAAAGTTTCGGGTGACTATTCAAATTTAAAAGCCAGTTCACATATAAGATGTCTAAAACTTTACGCAAAATAAAAAGATAATTCCAATTCAACTTGATGATTAATAATATCTATACTAGAATTCAGTTATTAGTAACGAAGCAATTCAACATTTACAAATTACGGATTTAAAATCCATTTTACCCATCACGTGTGTATCTTATTGATGCATATGTCGACAAACCTACCCTATATGCTATTGTTATTGTCTTGTTTGTGTGCTTGTTTTTTATGTGTAAATTGTATGACAGTTTTACTTTTGCATAAATAATTTATAAGCAGGTTTATTTTCGTGATGAGAACAAAGTTAGATAATCTTCTTATGCATGACGCTTTTCTTAGAAAATGAATCCTTTTAAATTTTTTTTTTAGTTTTTTTTACAAATTAGTAGTTGCTAAATCAAATATGTTTTAAAAAAAAATAGTTAATTTCTATGTAAATTCGATTTTTTATTCATAGTATAAGTTTTAATTTGCTTGCTAAGTCATAATGTCGGAAAATAAAGCAGTATTAAAAAACAAAGGTACTTTCTTTTTTACTTTTTGTTTGTTTTGTTTTGTTTTAGAACTTCGAAGAATCTTGCGTTGTTCATATTTTAATTTTAGACTAGAGACTTTTCGAAATGGACTGCTAATGATGAATGATCGCTTCCCGCTTATTTTTAAATTTTATTTTATTTTACTTACTAAATATCTAATAATAAATTCAGTACTAATCATAATGCCTTTATTTCTCTTGTTTTAAAAAGTATAAACAGAAAACATTTGTTATGATAGCGAGAACTTAACGATTATAACATTTTTATTTTGATTTAAAAATCAAGTCCGCAATATCTCCATATCGTTTTTTTTTTATCTTAGTAATTACATTTAAAAAAGAAAACGTGTATCAACTTGACGAGGCAAGTTTCATCAATCGTTATTTTTTATTTTTGGTGTCTTAATTTATTTCCGTTTAAGGCTTTTTTTAAGCTGTACTTTTCATTTTGTAAAGTTTGCCGATCTCTTAATCTCTGATTAATTTACACTACAGCCATTTTCTTCAATTAGCAAACTTAATACATCATTTGTAATATGCGTGGCATGAGACACTCTCATTTTAACTAGCAAATACAGACGAAGAAACAGCTGTCTTTAATATTGTAAAAAAACAATATTGTGTCGAGTTTTTTTTTTTTTACCGTCGGTTCAGGTAAACTGTATGTAAACAAACCCGAAAAATTAAAAAATTAATCGAGTTTTCTTTCTTTCTTACAGAAATAATTTTGAGAAGTTAGTAAGGTTCGTTGTTTGGGTTTTAAAATAACTTTTGTGATCTTAGTTAACATTAGCTAGTCTATTACTTTTTTTTTGTTAATTGCACATTGTGCTTAACTTAAGCATTTACAAATGATTAAATGGAAATAAGTAATAATAAATTAATTTGGTCTTTTCTTTAGAATCTCTCTACTTCAGACATATAAACAAGAAATAGGAAGAAAATAATAAAACGGGTTTAAAAGTCTATAATTTATTTTTGCCTGATGCCAAACTAACATTTTACTTTCAATATATCTGAAAACCTTTAATACAGGCATAGAACTTGACAAAACATAAAAATATGATACCGAATTTATCTTGATAGCTCAATTAGCAACAAAGTTGACCATTCAAATTTTTTTAGTTTTACTTTTGCGTCTTGTGTGCTATTGGACGAGATGCCAATTTCAACAGTAACTGAAGATGCAGGCTTCAGACTAATTAAAAATCATTATAAATATGATGCCATATAGAAATCTTGAAGTAAAAGAAATATAATACTGATGGAATCAATAATTAGATCAAACCAAGCTAAACTTTGGGAAAAATTGTGTTCTCAAAAATGAAATAGTTAAGACATGACACAGAAGAACACTTTTTGACTGTTCATGTTTCATCTCAACATTTAATGCCTTGCAACTTTTAACTATGAATCATAGAACAACAGATGAAGTTATATCAATAAATAAAAAAAAAAAAAAATTATTTGCACCTAATAAAAACAGCCAGAAATACAATTTGACAGTAGGACAAAAACAGATCAAACCATCCTGAACTTGCCATAAAAAAGTATTCATCAGAAGAATATACCTGAAACTTTGATTCTTTACTAATTTTAGGATGACAAATTTAATAAAACAGTTCTTTTCTCTGTAATATGAATACCTTTTCTCGTACATCTAATTTTGGAAAAATTTGTGAAATTATGCAATTTTTAGTTTGTCAAGAGGGACAGTAATAACTACAAAACTTAAAAGTTTGTTTTATGAATGTCTCATTGGTCAATCCTTCAAATAATTGCTTATTGTAAAGCTTTAAACACATTTATCTAAAAAAAACGGAAATGATTTATTGGAACTGATGAAAAAACCTTTTAGATTGTTTGGAACTATAAAATGTATCAATGTTTTTTTTGTTTTTTTTTAAGAAAATGTAACAATTTCCTTTTAACCTCTGAAATAAGACCTAATTCCTAGAGTTACTAAGCAAATAATGATTAAAAAGAAAAAAGGAAACTGATTACATTTGAAAATTATCTTCTACTTGTAATTAGTAGGTAATTTTCACAATATAATACATTCAACTGGGCTAAAATTAAGCTTATCCAGTTCAGTTTTTATTTTATTTTTTCATAAAATGTATCCAGTTCCATTTTTGGAAAAGAAAATGTAAATAAATTTTTGATTTAATCCCAAGAATTAGAGAAAATATTGCCAGTCATGAATGTAAATGAAATGAATAATGACTCATTAAAGAAAATATAAGAAAAAATATTGAAACTATATAAATACATCTGATTTAAAATGGTGTTCGGCTGGTGATATTCATTCTCTCAGCAATACAAATTTTGTTGTGTTGGACCCAACCTTTTTTCACAAATTAAATGTTGTATACGCTTTTTTTTTTATTCGTGTGCACCTTGAGTTGTATGGGTACAGAAATATGAAACCAACTGATTATTAAAGACTGCTTTCCAAGGATATGTAATTTTCTTTTCTTTTTTTTTTTTTTCTTAAGAGTTGAATTTCTCAGTTTTTATGCACTAAAGTTTTCAACTTTGGAATTTTTTGCAAAAGACAGCTTCAAAACTTATAGTTAGCCCACCACATTGATGAGTGTCCTTTCTTTTTTAAGATAGAATTATTTTGATGTCTAGAGAGACATAACTGAGTGAAAAAAATTTAAAAAACATCACTATGAAATTGTCAACTTTGAAAATGTAAAAAAATGCCAGCTGTCATTGAAATACTGACATAATCTAAAGAGACATGGAATAAAAACTGATCATTACACATAAATAATTATATCTTTAGAAAGAGAAAAGATTAAATTCTTTTTACATACTAATTTCACACTAAACTAGGGTACATTGGAATACTTGATATTAGTTGGAAAAAGTGGTTTGTTATAAAAGTTTGCCAGAAAATCAGTTTTGTTAATTGTATGTCTTGTGTGAAAATAATAAAATCCAAGGTTTCTTTTAATGTGAAGTATGCATATGCGCGCACACACACACACACACACAACCATTTTTGGCTGGCCTGATGTAAAGAATTTCCTATATCAGAAATTACAAAAATTGTTGAAATACTCTTATTGGGGAGTTTATACTGAGGACTTAAACATCTGAACAAAGCCTGTATCTCTGGTCATTAGAAACTAAATACAACTATTGTACACATGTTCCTATTACATTTCCTATTATTATCTCTTTAAGAGCATCTCATGTGTTTCATATATTAATGTCACATGCAAAATTTTCAAAGAACATGCATGCACACATTTTAGAAAAATATTTTTAGATTCTTTTATTTTACATTTCATGTTTACACATGGAAATGAAGGAATTGTTTACTTGTGTAACTTGTATTAAATTATTCTTCTAACAATAATAGAAATGATATGGGATCCTTTTTGACTTTCAAATATTCTTTTAAAACACAATTTAGTTTGTAAGCATATTTACTAAAGTGTATCAGTGAAGTGGTTTATTTTTGTATTCAGAACAAGAAAAACTTTAAAGTACACCATGTAAAGTATGAAAGAATTGTTTTTATGTCTTTAGTATAAGTTAGTGAATGGAAAATGGTTAATTTTCATTATAGCTTTATAAATCTAATTGTAAATTAACATTCTATGAGAATCCTGTCCATATATAGACTAGCCAGTTTAATCCATTTAGTCAAAGCTCCTTATGATTGAAATGATAAAAAGCATTAATCTTGTTTGAAGATGTGAATACAATGTTGATTATAGTAGATTTATTATTTTTTTTTATATAGATTTGTGATAAGTTATCAAATGAGCTTATTTATACTTGTGATTTAGGTTATATTTTTCTCCCAAAATTTAATGCCATTTTATTGTTTTTCACTTGATACTAGTTCCGCTTATATGCAAATGTTGGCAAAGTTTAACAAATATACCTGCAAAAAAAAAATTGGTGAAGCAGCTGCTTGAGGGTAACTTACATCTATCCAATGGTATATGAAGGGAATGAGGGTGGTTTGCTATAATGTTCAGGGCATGGTGAGTCTTGGCCATGAAGGTTAGAAATGGTGAAATTAAAGAATTTAGTTTGTCTGAAAGTGATACAGCAGTGAGGGACTTTTAATGTTTTGTCTGTGAGAAAGGGATTGCAGGGTGGAAAATAATTTATCACCTACAAAGATGTGGTGACACTTGAACTCTATTGCGATTGGAAAGTGAAGTCTGGGCAGCTTCTACCTATATATGGCAACAGTATTCCATTTTCAGCCTGGTCTATCTCTTGTAAAGAGAGAGGATAGCAGAAGGAGCAGTTACTTGATGGAACAGTACAAGGAACTCACCATTTTTCTTTAGTGATAGATCATATATACAAGTCCCACTTGTGGCCTGGGTTAAATTTAAGTTCCAATAGGTGCTCAAGGCATGGGATCTCTCTCTCTCTTCTTTTTTTTTTTTTAAGATAAATCAATGTATACACTGATTGTTTTTTGCTTTATTTTTAAAATAAGTGTTTGAGCAAATTTACTTTATTAAGAATGTCTATCACTAGGAATTATATTAAGAACATTTAATACATTGTATTTGTTCAATTACTTATACACTAGCATGAATAATTCTGTAATATTTTTTTATGAAAGAGGAAGTAATTTTCGAAATTGTAGGAAATGCATTTTGAGTTGTAATATTTGTTTTGTTTATGATTGACTATTGATTCAATATCAATTTTTTTTCCTGTCATTTATCATTCAAACATTTTTATCAACATTTGCCAATAATTTCATTCTTTTATCCTTTTCTTATTGATTGATTGTAATAATTAACATTTTTTATGGATGAGGATGTATTTTCAAATTTGTAGGATAAATGTTTAGTCATAATGTTATTTGGTATCTTTTTTTTAACTATCAGTTTAGTAGTGGATTTCTTCCTTTATTAATCTCTCAAATATTTATTTTTAGCAACAACAATAAATGTTTTCATATATTTAAGGATAATTCTATACATTTATTCTTATTTATTAATTTGTTTCTATTATCATCATTAAAGTAAAATAAAGTCAAAGCAGTACATTTGATAAAAAATGGTCACTGCGACATCCAATGTAAAATATATATTGTTGTTCCTTGTCATGGTAAAGGAGTTGTATGTCCCAGTAATCCCAAGAATGAACCTATCTGGAGTTCCAACTCCTGTAGGGTCAGCCATAGCGGTAAGGACAAGGAAGAGGGACTAGACAGAATGTGACCAAGCCCCTGATGATTCCCAATGGTGGAATAGGCAAAGATCTACTTGATGTCAAAGGCCAAACTGGTGGAAGAGGACAACACAAATTGGACTGGCATAACCAAGGCAGATCTTGATAGACCAAGCATTTGACAACATGATGAAAGTAGCTTTGCCAGATCTTGCCTGTCTTAATCCCCTTTGAACCATGAGAGAGGTGCTCTGGCCAAATGTGTGGGCTTCTCCGTTGTGCAGAGATGTCCACCAAAATCAAATTCCTATGAATGACCTTGCCAAATACTCTTTATTTCACAGCCATCTCTGACATCACCACCAGGGGGCAGAAAGAGAATAGAGAGGATGATAATTTTGATGCAATTGGGTGTTTGATGATGGATGTGACCAGCCAGTTTTTTTCCTCCCATTGAGTTCTTAGAGTTTGGTTAGAGGAGAGATCAGCCTCCAAGCTTTGATCATCTAGAGTTTTGGAGGTGCACCTATATACTGTTGTATCATAAGAGAGTTGGACAGAGAAGTGTATCTTCGGAGATGCCTGCATTGATCGCTTGTGCCTTGGAGGACTGACTGTTAACAACTATCTTCAGGAACCTACTTGTTAAGAATGTCTTTATAATTGAGAAGACTCTTTCAGTGATTCCATAGCTAGAAAGCTTGTGCAGTGACCCTTTATGCCATACCTTGTCAAAGGCCTTTGAAATATCTAATGCAACCATCCTTGATGTATTTGTTGTCTAGTGCCTCACTGATTCTGTGAGTAATGGCAGTTAGGATATCAGCAGTAGACTGGGCCAATCGAAATCCATAGTTTTTTGTTCAAGAGGTTGTTCCTATTTAGGTGGCCTTGTTTATTATAGCTTCAAAAAGTTTGCTAATGAAACTGAGGAGAGCGATATTGTGATGAGGATGAGTGCTCACTTGCATTCTTGAAAACAGGATATATATTTGACATTTTCTGCAAAGTTAGGAATGATTTATCCTTCAAGTAGTGGTTAAATAATTTGGGATAACTCTAGGTTAATATTCTTAAGACAACCACTGGGATTTTATCTGTACCAGTAGTCTTAGGTTCAAGACCTTTTAATAAGTCTTGAGACTTCTTGGGCTGTAATAAAAATATTACTGACATTGTGCTCAATGAAACTTAGGAAGTGGGTGGCCTTTGTCATCTAATGTTAGAGGCAAAGATCATAGCAAAGAGAATGAGATGACCTCTGGGCCATTTATAATAGGCACTGATGTTTTACCTCTATTCAGAATTTGGTTGGAGATCTTCCAGAACTCTCAGGAATTTTGCATTCAACCATGGTCTGGATCACTTGTGCATAGCTCTGCTTTGCATCTTCAAGAAGAAAAAAACTTTACTCTGAATATCATTGATTATTCACTTCAAAGAAAGTTTCTTTATGCCTCATAATTGAACCTTTTTTATGAATTTAATATTTTTTTAATAATCTTCAGTAAATTTTTGGCTTTCCTCTAAAATGAATGCTAATTCTGATGGCTTCATTTAGTAAACAATTGACCACCAAATTTTTATTTTTGTTATTGCAGCAATCTGTTTAATTTTGATATAATCAAACTCCATGAATGAAATTGCTTAGCAAGTTGTAGAAAGACCAAATTTACATTCAGCAAGCAATATTTAATGATAAATGTTCAAGAGGTAGGGTGAAAAGAAGCTTATAAGAAGTTAGTACTACTACTTTAGTTTTATTTTATAAGAGATGATTGATGTATGGAGTTGATTCCCCAGAACAGTTATGAAGGAAATCCAGGCTTGGTATGTTGACTTTATATGCAGCAAGTAAGGTTTGAAGAGAATGTTAGAAGAACAGTAGAATTGAAACAAAAATCAATATTCAAAAGTATTAACCCTCAACTTCCCACAACCCAACTTATTTATATCAATTTTTCCTACCACCTTCCACAAAAACCTGTCACCTGCTATCTCTTAGATCAAATCAATAATACATTGTAAATATTAAATAAAGTTCTTTAACCAAATTCTGCTAATATGGGATTAATGTTGATTTAATTTTTATCTTTGTCTAGAATTGTTGAAAAAAAACAAAACAATCCTGAATATTTTTTAAGTACGTTGCAATAAATTCATTGTACTTGATTGGACTTAAAGGCTATTTAATGTTGATTGTGCTCTTATGTGTTGCTTTAGCCATTTTCAATATATATTAAATAATATTTCGACAAAATAAATAATGATTAATTGGTTTTAAATAATTAATTGGTGGAAATGACATTGTTTTAAAAAAAATATTAACAAATCAGTTATAAGAAAATCCGTTAAGAATTAGCTTTATTTACATTAGGTACAGTAGAAAATCACAGCTTAATTTTTTTAGTTATATTTAGAATTTTGTTCTTGCAAATTGAAAATAGTTTTATTTAAATTGATATATGAAATGAACTCAGAATTGTATGGTTTCATTCTTTGTTTTACATTTGATGTTCTAATTCGTCTTTAAGAAAATTAAAAACAATTTATCTATGTAGATTTTCTATAAATGTTTTCATGTTCAAAATAATTATGTGGAATTTTTATTTATTTATTTTTTTTTAGTTCTCATAAAGAACACCGTACAAAGGAAGGAAGAAAGCGTTATGCAGAAGATAGTTCAGATGACAGCCAAAATGATAGAGATTCAAAAGAGAAGAGGAAACGGCTTGAGTCTTACTCATCATCTAAGAAAGAAAAACGGAAAGATGAGAGAGACAATCAGCAGGACTGGGGCAGTTCCTCTTGGTCATCTCGGGACCAAGACTCAAGCAGAATAAGCAGGGAGCAAGAGTCAGCCAATGAGAGTAAAGAAAAGACCTATAAAGGTCTTGTGGATTATGCTGAGAGTGACAAAGAGGTGAAGCCTGAGGAACGAAAGACCAAGAAGAAGAAGAAAAAGAAACATTCAAGCAAACGGCTGGATCAGGACTCCTGTGACACTGATGAAGACTTGAACACTGAAAGGCATCGTCAAAGAAATTCAAGTTCCAAAAAGAAGAAAAGCAGTCGTCATTCTAACCGGGGTTTGGCTAGGGAAGAACGACTGTCCTCTGTTCCTGATTCTGATGCTGAAAGGAAAGATGAGAGGAAAAGCAAAAGCAAGGAATCCTCACACCAGAAGCGTCGCCGGGAAAAGGATGAGTCTGGAAGTGACCAACGCAAGAAAAAGAGAGATGATGTCCATGAGTCTGAGAAAAAGAAGGAAAGTGTTGAAGAAGGCAGGAGAAAGGATAGGCAAGAAGAGAGAAGGAAAGAAGATAAAGTCCATATTAAACAGGGAAGCTCTGTAGAAAACCAAAGTGGATCAGATGAATATCATGGTCCAAGAAACCAAGACAACAGTGACATATTACATAAAGAGAACAGTCCACAGAATAGAGCTGTTACTCCTGATGGTGCCAAGTCGTCTTCAGAACTTGATAATGATGAGGATGCAAATGATGATGCCATGAGTAACACTAACAGGCTGCATCGGCAGCATGATGGCTCTGAAAAGAATCCTGGCAGATCACCATTAGCAGAATCTCCTTCAGAAAGACAAAAAAGCAAAGATAAGACTGAGGGTAATTCTCCCTCATCCGTCCCCCAAAGGGTATTGAAGGAGCCTGTCATGAAATCACCTTGTTCTCAAGATGATACTCTGGTTGAAAAGTTTTCCAGAAATCCTGAAATCTCTGAGACATCAAGGGAACAAGATGACTCTTTAAAAGTCATTTCTCGAGTACGAGACAATTCTGAGAAAACATCAAGATGGCAGGCAAATTCTTTTGAGAAAAGTTCAATGGAAAGTGCTGATAGAGTAATCAAATCAGATTATCTTAATAAACAAGAAGCCCATGACTCAAAGGAAAAATGTTCTGAGAGTGATGACTCCCAAGAAAAACCACTTGAAGAGTATGGAAAGATGTCTAGTGACAAAGCAAAGCAAAGAGAGCGGGAAGATTCAAGAGAGAGACAGAGTGAGCGGGAAGATTCAAGGGAGAGACAGAGTGAGCGGGAAGATTCAAGGGAGAGACAGAGTGAGCGGGAAGATTCAAGGGAGAGACAGAGTGAGCGGGAGGATTCAAGGGAGAGACAGAGTGAGCGGGAAGATTCAAGGGAGAGACAGAGTGAGCGGGAAGATTCAAGGGAAAGACAGAGTGAGCAGGAAGATTCAAGGGAGAGAAAGAGAGAGAATGAAGATTCAAGACAGATTCAGAGAGTGAGGGGAGACTCTAGAGACAGGCAGAGAGAGAGGGATGACTCTAGAGAGAGGCATCACTCGAGAGAGAAGGAGAGGGAAGATTCGAGGGAGAGTCTAAGAGGGACATATGAATCCCTAGAGAGGCAAAAGGACAAAAGCTATTCTCATGATAAGCAAAAAGAGACAGCTGAATCAAGAGACCGTCGTCGAGAACGAGATAGTTCAAAGGAGAAAAGGAAAGAAAGGGACGATTCAAGAGAAAGAAACCGTGAATGTGAGGTGTCGCGAGACAGACATAGATATAGAGGTGACTCTAGGGAACGGTGGAGACATTGGGATGATTGGGATAAATGGAAGAATCGGGGTGATTCCCGAGACAGGCGCAGAGGTGATTCCCGGGACAGGCGCGGCGGCGATTCCCGTGACAGGCGCGGCGGCGATTTCCGTGACAGGCGCGGAGGCGATTTCCGTGACAGGCGCGGGGGCGATTTCCGTGACAGGCGCGGGGGTGATTCCCGAGACAGGCGTGGAGATGATTCTCGGGACAGGCGCAGAGGCAATTCTAGAGATCGACAATATTCATCCAATAACCGCAGTAAGCGTTGGGATAATTCTCAAGATAGAAAATCCAGCTATGTAGATAAGCATCGAGATAGAGAACGGTCTTCATCTTGGGAGCATCACAGACATGGAAAGAGTAATGAGAACACCTCAAGCCGAGAAGATAATCGCAGACGTGAGAGAGATCGTGAAAATTCATCACGAGAACGTACTGTTAGTGGAATGGACTATTCAAGCTCTGACAGACGTGTAGACCGGGATTTGCAAGGTGAAAGCACCAAGAAGGGCCATGATAGTTCTAGAGAAAGGTACCATAGTTCTGAGGCATCACCTGAAGTAAGACAAAGTAAAGAGCTAAGAAGCTCTATTAGCAAAAAAAGTGTTGAGAATGACGGTAAAAACAATTCTCATGATGTAAAAAACAAAGAAGAAAATTTCAGCAAACCTTCCAGTTCCATTGATGTCGGTGAAGAAGCCAAAAAGACTGAAGTGGAGACTAAAAAGGATGATAGGGTCTCTTCTCAGCCATCCAAAGATCCTCAGGGAGCAGGTATTCTCACAACACGTACTGGAGGTGCTTATATTCCTCCAGCTAAGCTACGAATGATGCAAGCTGAAATCACAGATAAAAGCAGGTAAGACCTTTGTTTTTGCTCTTTTTTATCATTTTCTTTGCTGGGTGAGTGTTTTGTGGTTTTTTTTTTTTTTTTTGGTTTTTTTTTTCCATACAGAAATACTGTTTAACTTTTAATGCATAAAGGGTTGCTTATATTGAGTTTTAATTTTTTGAATTTTTGAATATTTTGATTTTTGGTGGAAAAAGAAAATCTATTTTAAACTTCAGTTATTAAAGATTGCATAAGAAAATAAAACAAAAATAGCTCACAAAAATAATAAAATGAGTAGAACTTCATAGAAATTCTATGGTGCATTTAAAACTTAGGAGTGTTTTATGTGAGTGGGTGTTGAAAACTTCCCAAACTTGGGAAATTTTCTTGCAATTGCTTCTTGATCAGATTGAGAACTTTTCAGTATTTTTTTCTCTCTCTCTCACTCACACATGCATGCACACACACTTTGAATAATACAGAAAAGATATTTACATTTTAAAATAGTCGCTTATCCAGTTAAACATTAAGACACACTAGAGGAAGCAAAATAAGACAAGGTATCATGATCTTCATTTTCAAAAATTACAGGGTGATTGAGCACTGGACAAGAAGCAGAGAAGTCTGAAATATCAGATTCATCAGGCTTGTGACATCACCTATAAGAATATTAATTTTGCTTTAAACTAGTATTCACTTGATTAAAAAGAAAAAGAATCACACTTATTAATTTTCAATAACATTTTTACTATGATGAAAATTGATGTTGAGCTAAGCAGTTTGAGATGTTAGCTTTACTGTGGCATGACATTTGAAATTATTTTTAAGCCATGTTATGGAATTATTTCCTTTAGAAGTTAACATTGTAAAATCTGCTGTACTCTATATTTATTGTTGATTCTGGTTGTCTTTGTATTTTATTTTATTCAGTGTTGCATACCAGAGATTGTCATGGGAGTCCTTGCGAAAAAGCATTAATGGTTTGATTAATAAAGTCAACGTTGCCAATATTAGAGATATCGTACGTGAGCTGTTTCAAGAAAATATCGTCCGAGGAAGGTGAGTTCTTTTATTTTTTAATAAGCTCTCAAATTTTGGTTTTAAATTTGTATATTTAGAATATTTAATAGTTATCACTGGTTTTAAACTTGGTTAACTAATAAGCTGACAAATTAGATTGGAAATCGTTGATTATGACTATCACGAAAATATGATTCTTTTTGTTGTCTCTCTTTTTCAATGAAACTACTGTACCTTTGTTATCAGAAGCATACAATAAATTGCGTAAGAGCATTCAGTTTTGCTGGAAATTCTTTTGTGAGTATGTAACTTTGACACTTAGGTAATGTTTTTGTTGAAGATATATAAAAACAAGTGCTATGGCCATATATATATATATATATATATATATATATATATATATATATAATAAAAATCCCCCAAAAAATGTATTAGCAAAAATGTGATAAAAACAAAGGTTAAGATACTTGTCTGACAAATGTATGGATTAATGAAAATAGTTAATATCAGAACTAAATGAGATTCCTGCAATTGGCATTTCTAGGAAATGAGCAGATGATTTTAGTGTGCTTGTTTCCTGGCTAAAATTTGATGTAAATCTTACACTAGACATGCAAGTCAGCAACTTTACTACAGTTTATATCTTCCTTTCAGAATCTGATAAATTTTTCATGTCACTGAATAATTTTTCTTAAGAAATCTAACAATCTGATTGAGCATTTCCATGTTTGTGTATGGCCTAATTGGTAAGTCAGCTATCATTTTAGGGTAGGCTTTGCAAAGGTATGACAAGTTGAGTCTTGGCAGGGGCTTATTCTTTATTTACAATCTGTGTTGCTTACTGACGACTGTAGAATGTCTTGCAGCAATGGAAAAGCAACTGAAATTAAAATGAAAGAAATACTCGTAAAAAAAAATTATTAATTGACTATGCTTATTGTGAGAAATTATATACGTGATGTGAGGTGGGGTGCTGAAAAACGTTCGTGGCTCAGCCCATTTCACAAAATATGACTAATTAATCAAACATCAAATATATATATTTATTTTTTTTTTTTTTTTTTTTAATCCATTCTTGATTTGAACAGGAACTTTTCTGCAACTTCTCATATAATCTCATACTAAATAGTAAAAACTTCTTGGTAACATGTTTCAGTCTGGTCATTGTTATAGGTCTGATCTTAATTTCACCATAAAGAATGCAGTTCTGATTAAAAGAGAAAGTAATTAATGTGTATTGAAAGTGCACTAATTTCTGAATACTCTCAATGTAGTATAATTAAAAATTATATGATAAAAATAAAAGTTGAACGAGATAGGCTAAGTTAAATCTCTTGATACATCAGATGTCTAAATTTAAAGACTAAATATTTTTAATGTTTTCATATAAAATGTAGCCTGGGTTTTTTTGGGTTTTTTTTTTTTTTGTATCCTCTCCCCTCAAAAAAAAAAAAATCTTTTATATATAAGGCTGATCCTACCGATAAAACCTTTATTAGTCTAAAGAAGTTTCTTGGAATGAAATATGTTAGAATGTTTTTTTGTCATTTATTTACACATAAGTGCTCAGAAATTATTAATTCATCATATATTTTCTTTTATCTTCATCAATCCAGTTATGATAATCTATTAATGATCTTAATACTTTTTTTTTTTTATACAGAGGTCTACTAGCCCGTTCTCTACTACAAGCTCAGGTAGCTTCCCCAACTTTCACACATGTTTATGCTGCTTTGGTAGCTATTATTAATACAAAGGTGAGTGAGAGTGAATCTTTGGGCTTATATTTAATATGAGATATTGTACTGTTATTCATATTGGAGTCTTTGTTATTTCTATTATATTTCCTTGGGTTTTTTCTTCATTTTGCTCACATTGTACTTTGATAAAATATGTTTTATATCACATAGCTATTATAATCTTCATTTTTTAAAGTTAGTACTTGTTCAGGGAATAAGCTTGATTAACTCTATTATTGACATAATGTTAAATGCTTTTACAATTGGAGTGTTGTAGGAATTTTTCTTTTTTTCAAATAAGCAATATTTAGTTTAAATTTGAAGACTTTTTTCTTTTTTTTTTTTTGTATTAAATTCGATTTCATATTGCTAGAAGTATTACACATGGCAATAAATTGTGGTACCTTTTAAAAGATATATCAGTAAAATTGTTTTTATTATTATTGCTATTGATTAGTCATAGAATTTAACACAGCATTAAACACAAGTTAGATTTGCTACTTTAGGTATTTTCCAAGTACGGTGACTAATATTAATTAACTACTCAGTGTCAACAAATATTCATGTAATGCATATATAATGTATCTATCTATCTATCTATCTATCTATCTATCTATCTATCTATCTATCTATCTATCTATCTATATATATATATATATATATATATATATATATATATATATATATATATATATATAATCTATTTGGATTGATGTGAGTTTGTGACCCTGTGTTTCATGCTCTCTGCAATTGTCAGACAATCTGACGATCACAGAGATCGTGAAACCCAGGTCACAAACTCTGATCAATCCAACTAGATATGTTAGCTCTATCACTGATATTCAGCACTTTCCAATAAGTAGCACATATATAAATAATATATATAAATTTTTTTTTTTTTATGATTTATTGTTAAAAGATTTTCAATTTCTATTTCTAGTTTCCTCAAAATGGTGAATTAATCTTGCGCAGATTAATTATCCAGTTCAGAAGAGCCTTCAAAAGAAATGACAAAAATGTTTGCATATCCTCATGTCGCTGTATTGCTCATTTGGTTAATCAGCAAGTGGTAAGAAAATTTGTTCTGCTCATAAGTTGCATTGGCAAAAGTTTATTAGCCTTTGATTTTTTATTTGTGTGTGTGAGTTCAAATAAATGTGTATGAGGTTGGATTAATAAATTTGTAGCTTGAATTCAATCTGAAATTTTCACCGTATAATGTTTGATCTACATGAATTAAATGCACTGACAAAGTAATGTTGAAAATATGTAAAATATTTTTTTCATTAAGTTCTGGACATATTGTGATGTACTTATGTATAAATTGTTTATATATTTTAATTCATCTTACTGTTGTGTGCATTCATCTTCACCAATTGATTATAAGAAAAAGTACCAACTAAGAAGGGACTAAAAAAAAAATCTGATATTTATTCAGATTTTTGGAAGTGGGTTTCACTATACCCTCCTAGATAAGAATACATTAACTTTTTCAAATATAAGATGGTTCATATTCTTAAGATGATATCTAATATTAAATTAAGGCTAATCTAATCTGGCTTGCAGAAAGATAGATTAGCAAATAATTCCAAAATTTAAATTTGATTTATTAATTCTAATTTATAATCAATATCATTAGAAATAAGAGAACTCAAATTCAGTTGACTTTCACAAATAATAAATCTCTTGATAAAAGTGAAGGACACTAGTAATGAGAATAAAAGATGTCAATACAAAAGTTAATTTTTTTTTATGCTACAGATTGAACATTTTATTTCAATGCAAAGTTGTACAAATCAACTAAAATTGTTCAATCATTTTGTAACATAGCA